TTTGAAATGGTTGTAGTATTTGCATTCTGGATCTAGCCTTGTTTGGAAGTAGGCATCACTTAGGTCAATCATGCTTTGGAATCTAGCTCGTGCAACTGCATTCAGGATTTGTATTTGGTTTGGGATAGTGGAGCAGTCCATAACCATGTTTTCATTCTGTAGTTTGAGGTCAACCAAGGGGCGAATTCCTTTGCCATCTGCTTTTAGTTGAACAAATATAGAAGCAGCACCTGGAGCTTCTGCTCAGTAGATGACTCCTCTTCTTTGTTGCTGGTTGATCCAGTCAGATATTGGGCTTTTGTATACACAAGGGATAGAGTAGTTGGGTTGGTTCTTAAGATTAGAGGAGTCTCAAAGACGGAGGTGATGGTTCACTTCTCTCATAGGTGGTAGTTCTTCAGGTATCTGATCAGCGAAAACATCAGAGTATTCATCCAATAGGTGTTGTGTAATTGCTTCACAGACTGTGGCTTGGTACTCTCCCCTTGTTGGCTTGCATGAGACTCTGACCTTCTGATCTGGGAAAATATATGGTTGATTCCCTACACCTGATTATAGCTTTGTGGCAGTTCAGGAATGGCATTGCTATCAGGGTATCGTATTTGGTTAGATTTCCAACCAGCATCTCTAGGGGCGGTAGGATGGTAGAACCAAGTCGGATAGTTGCGCTACAGCTTTTATGGCTTGTTGATCGTGACTCTATTACTGCTATATTGACTGGTATGGGTTGGTTAAGGTCTTGAGTTGGGAGTCCATGGACAGAGACAAAGGCATTACAGATCATGTCTCTTCCGATCGTGCCAGGTGTTAAATAGGATATGAGCCTTCTTGCCATTGATTAGATTAGTACCTTCCAGGGCAGTGTGTGCTTTAAATGTAGCTGGTGGTTGGACACTGTTGCACTCCACATCGATATATCCGATATCGATCTCCTCATGTTCACTGGATTGGGTATTATCACTGTCGCTCTCAATATTGTTGGCCGATGCTTCTTGCTTAATCGCCTTTCCTTTACCTTTCTTTGTAGGGCAGTTCTTTACCATGTGTCCTGTTTTTCCCCATTCAAAGCATTCTCTTTTCTGTCGTCTTAATTCCTTGGAGGATTTTGACTTCTTTTTGAAGACCCGTGGGGCATCTTCTTCAGAGTTGGTGGAGGGCTTGCATTGTAGTTGGCTATTCCTGCTAGAGGATGTCTGTGTCTCGCATGCCTTGGTCTCATAGAGAATGGCGTCCTTTTGTTCTGCTCTTGCAATTATTATTGCAATATTGTCATCGTCTTCCTCGAGTAGTTCTACCTCTCCTCGGAGGGTAGGATGCATAGTATCATAGAATTGTGGCTTAAGTATGTAGTTGGAAATGCTTCCTTTCTTCATTCAGTCCTTATGCATTGATAGATCCGTAACTACATCTGTAATCCTCTTGACATGCGTTCTATTAACTTACTGGAGCTGGTTGACTTTGTTGTATAGGAGGTCATTGGTGATAGAGGATTGGAATTGGCCTTTCAGATAATCGAGGACTGTAGATTCTCTTAATCTTACATTTCCGCTGTAATCCTTATAGCATTAGTGGTATGCGTCGATTGCCTTTCCTTCACAGAATGATCCAATGTATAGTCCAGTTGTAGGGTCTTCCACATCTTTTCCTTACAGGAGAAGATAATATGTGAGTTGCCATCGCCCATCGGTTAAAGGCTTCGCGTTTAAGATCTTTTCCTTCTCCTGTAAACTTTGCTAGGAGGTGGAGTTTAAACTTAGGAGGTTCAAATGCTGCGGGTATCTCCTCTTCTTCAAGCCTAGCCCGAGATTTTCCTCCTCTAGAGGTCCCTCCTCCTGTACTAGCCATGTCTGATTCGCTACTGGATTCAGGGTCGATTGGAGGTTCAAAGAAAGGCTTCTTTGCTGGAGTAGTAGGGAATTCTCCTGGAGGTTGTATGTCTTCCATGTTTGCAGGTTCTCAAGGCTCCTTAGCAGAGCGCTGGGGTTGTTTCTTTCTTGTAAGGTCTTGTCGTAGGATTTGCTTCCCACTCCTGGTTGTCAAAGACTCTATCTTGGATTTGAGACAAAGTAGAACGTGCCGTGATTCTGCCACTTCTCTCCACTAGTGTTCTGAGGTGGATATCGATAGCTTGATCAGGCCTACATCCGGGGACAGGTTCTTAACCACTTACTGAGGTTAAAAAAATATAACGTGTTCGCAAGGTGCTAATCACATTATTGGTAATAGATACAATAGTTGGGAGGTGACCTGCTCTTCCAGAGAGGAGGCAAGAGCTGAGAACTAAAGGAGGCTTCGAGGATGTACTGAGGAATAAAGAAGTAACCGTTCAACCAAGTAGATTGAAATACTGTCTGTCGAAGTCTGCCTTTTCTATCGTAGAAACAGGCGGTATTGAAATACACAAATCTGTTCATATCTAGCATGAACGAAACTAATCAAAGGTATCAATCGATACACTTTGGTAAAACTAATTAAGTATCAAAGCGATACTTAAAACAAAACATAAAACAAAACTAAGTATCAAACGATACTTAAAACAAACCAAGTATCAAACGATACTTAAACCAAAACATAACACAAATCTAATAACAGAGTACCCATACTGGTTATAAAACAAGACTAAGAATGGAAACCCTCGAGCCTAAATATTACAAAATTATTATAATAATATATTGTTTAAAGACATAATAATGCCTTATAGATGTAGTACAATATTCTTGAGTAAGTCTTGGAGCATCCTTGCTATACTCAAATATCAGTACAAGTTAAGTTTTAATAATAAGTATAATTTTTTTTCTCTTTAAACATGAAAGTAAGCCTCTAGACTCAGCATGTATAATACTTAAAATAAGTAAAGTTTGTTGTAGATTATAAGAAATACTGATAGTAGACAGTTTACCAAATAGAACCTCCATCAAGGCAAGTAAATAATAGGAATACAAGGCTGGCTAATGACTGTAATAAGCATGAAAGTCCACAAGAGGAATCTGGTACAAGTATTGTCAGTCAACTATGAAAACATGGTTAACCACCTGGTTCTAAAAATAAAACATCTAAAAATATCTCATAGAGTTGTATTTACAATTCTAATTTTATATCATAACTTTTGCTATTCCTTCTAATATTTTCTATGTGATTAAAATATTTTTAAATATTTTTTAATAATAAAGTAGCACGTCAAACTTGGAGGAAAACTAAAACATAATTTACCAGAAATTATTTTTTCTTGTTACCAGACTTCATATGCATTTTTCTTGTCTTGTCAAAAAAAGGCCCATGTGTAGGTTCTAACAAAAACAAGGTTATATTGTAAAATTAAGTTCAAAATTGAAGGAAAATTAAAAATTAAAAATTCAAGTTAAGGAAATACGATTATGACCAGTCACTCAGAGATATTTAACTGTTTTTACCGCCTAATATCATACAAACACGCCTCATACAAGACAAGCTGTCATGTTTAGGAATTGTACTTTTATGCATACTGGATGTATCGGAGAATCACTAGGAATCAAAACCTATTAGTTAGTACCATGCATGATATCTGCCTTACTCCAGCTACCCCCCGAAAAATTAAGGTACAGTCAGTCCTATCGATTACTCCAGGAAGATGTCACCTTATAGTCTGCACTACAAAGAGTACAGAATATTTGTGAGTGCCTCTCAGAGATGTGGCAGGCCTCTGCAATATTGAGGCCTGCGATAGAACTCTTCCCAAGGTATTCACATAGAGAGGATAAGGCTGCTGAGTTGCCTGCTGGAAACTTCTCCTTGATGCCTACCAGCACCAACTACCATTGAACTTTGCTATAGTCCATCGTGACTGGACACTAAATGACTGGTACTGGGTGATCTGGACAGACTAGTGCTATATTTGGCTCTCATGTACTCTGAACCATACCTGGATCATCAGGCACCCTAGGAAGGAGTTTCACGATGCCTGCCTCATCCCAAAATTCGCCCACAAGAACTCTATCAAGATCTGGGATAGGCTTCTTGGGGGCAAAATAACCCCGCTTGTTCTTTGGGATCAGGACAATTGGGGGACTATAACTGCACAGAGTTATGTCACCAATATCCTGATCCCAGATTTTCGGCCATTCTGGGAGCAGGAGGATTGACAGGCCGGTGGGGGATCACCTCTTTGGTTTATGGGAGATGGAGCCCGCGCATAGCTTACTTAGAGTACCCCCATATCCCGTTCTTAGTTTCTTTTGCCTTCACCGACTCCTCTTGGTAGTATGCCACGCCTCTCCGCAATAGCATAATACCCGTAAACAACCACCATCCAACCTGCTATCTCCGATGATCCGCCACTCACTCCCCCAAGCGGAAATGCTCCAGCGCGAGGTCTCATAGCCTTCACAACGGAGGGCGTTGTGAATTGGGCAGGTGGTGACCAAGAGTATCATACTAGTACTCGTACTTATGAGGACGTACCGGTAGGGAGGTTCTTAAGCAGTCATAAACGTGATCTTGCTCCTGTTGCCACAGCAACAGTTACCCCCTACCCGAGTACCGTTGGGAAGGCAAGCTAATTCAAGTGCGCACTAAAATCACTCGAGTATGATAGTTCATGAATTAGTGTGAACTTGGGCATGTAAACAATGTAAACAAAGTGGCTGATTGGCCCAGAATTATTTCATGCAAGCTAGTGGCAGGTGTCTATTCTGGATAGGGATGAATTTATCATGTCTGTTCGAGTTCAGATGGTAGAATTTCTCCCATCCCCAAGAACCACAAGGCAGAGTACGTGTAATTTACTGTACATGTTCAAGTTCACGCGCACGACAGAACCTTCCTAGTAGTCTACCCATATGATACTGTATCTATATGATACTTCATAGGCAAAAAGTCAATTCGCCAAAGCAGGGTAACAAAAATTTCCTTAGAATAATCCTGGCTTACCCATCCGCCCGTTTCATCCTGGCCCCAGTGGAGACTGCAGCGAGGAACCCTGTGCTTCCACGATGAGTAATTGCCGAGATGTGGTGGTTGTGACCCCGCCTTGGGGTCCAACATGGGATCGACCGCTACGGTATCGGGAGGAGAAAGGAACAGATAAAGATTGAACGAGGGCAAGATGAACCATATTCTACGTTTTTCGATTGGTCTCGAGAGGATGGGGATAGGGATGCGGAAACGGTTGCTGGCGACGCATGCCCAAACTCCAGCCAGTGTGGCTATGGGAGATGCAATGACGCTGTTGGAGAGAGTAGTCAGCGCGCCGCCAAAGAATACCTGGACGAAGGATGAGATCTCTAGTATCTACAATACTCCGTTAATGGAGTTGACGTACGCCGCTGTACTTCCCCCTCCCCCCGGTCCACATCCAGACTATCCCCGCTAACCCGCGGCCCACCCAGGCAACATTGCATAGAAAACACCACCCCCACAACACCGTCCAAACCTGCACCCTCTTGTCCATAAAAACCGGCGGCTGCACGGAAGACTGCAGTTATTGCGCCCAATCCTCCCGCTACTCCACTGGCCTGACCGCGACCAAGCTATCCACCCTCGAAACCGTCATGACCGCCGCTCGCGAAGCCAAGGCGAACGGAAGCACACGTTTCTGCATGGGCGCAGCATGGCGCGACATGTCCGGCCGTACGCGCGGGCTAGAGCGCATAAAAGACATGGTCCGCGAGGTCCGAGGCCTAGGAATGGAAGTGTGTGTGACGCTAGGAATGTTGGACTCAAAGGCGGCGGAGGAGTTGAAGGATGCTGGGTTAACGGCGTATAATCACAACTTGGATACCAGTCGGGAATTCTATCCAAAAGTTATTACTACCAGGGGGTTCGATGAGCGGTTGCGGACCATAGAGAATGTGCGTAATGCCGGGATCTCGGTGTGTACCGGGGGAATACTCGGCCTTGGGGAGACGGCGGTGGATCATGTTTCGTTCTTGCATACCCTTTCTACGTTGCCCGAGCATCCCGAGTCAGTTCCTATCAATGCGCTGGTTCCGATCAAGGGGACTCCATTGGGAGAGAATAAGAAGGTTCCTTTCGACAGCTTTCTAAGGGTTGTGGCGACAGCGAGGATTTTGATGCCTGGGAGTATTGTGCGCTTAGCTGCTGGGAGGATTAATTTGACTGAGGAGCAACAGGTGCTTGCCTTCTTTGCTGGGGCGAATGCGGTGTTCACGGGGGAGAGAATGTTGACTACCGAGTGTTCTGGGTTCGAGGCTGATAGGAGATTGTTTGAGAAGTGGGGGTTGGCTAATATGAAGGCATTCAGGGGGGAAGAAGAGGGGGGTGCTAAGAGGATCGCCGAGGTAGAGAAGAGTGGGAAGATAGGGGAGATTATCGAGAGAGTTTAGAGTGTTAAGCGGCGGTCTGTATGTTTGCGGGTGTTCAGGTTTTGCAAGAATGTGATGTTTTCGAATCGCACGAATACGGAAGAGATGAGAGTGATGTGAAGTGCGCTGTAGAGTCTTTAAGAGACAATTCTTCAAATATCGCCCAGCGAGTTATCGTCCGAACTCCACCGGAAGAAGCCCATACACAACTTTCTACCAATCAAGTGTTGTCCCATTTGAATCCCAAGTGCTCCCAGGAAAGGGGAGAGAAAGGTCCACCGTCATACTCAGAATGTTGTACTCTGCTATGCAGTTGAACTTGTGCCCCCCCCCCGCCAGCAGGAAACACTCCCTAAGGCGACTATTTGCAAAGAACCGTATGCGCATCCCCATGGAGTAAACTTCCTAATGTAAAATCTTTGATAAAATTCCAGAGCGCGACGGATTTTTGACTCCTAGTTATTGTACAGTACTTCGCCGACCTTCAAACCAACGCTCGTAGTGCCAGCAGTATGTATACACTGACCCTGCAAGCTAAACCCCCATTTTCAAGAAAACAATTTACGAGAGAGTCTTTCCAACACTCCCCATCCCCACTCAAGCAGTCCCCCCTTCCCTGAAAAGAAATTCTGGCCAGAAACCCATGCGCCATAACTTTATACCCGCACCCCTTTACCACAAAAAGCACAAAGCTCAGCACCAGCCAGTAATCCTTCCCGGCAATGAGTTGTTTTTACCTTGCTTCTCTTCCTTCCTTTCGTGGTTTGCACGTGCTTTCCCCCCTCCCTTGCTGGCTTTTAGTAGTGCCTGGAGGTGAGCGTGCCCGCAGAAGGGTGAATGACGGCGTAGAACCAAAATGATCTTGATGGGAGGAATTAAACTCAGCACAGGTGGTTGATCTGGAGGTTTATCTCTTCTTTCTTGGAAGAGGTAATCGGTGAGGACTAAAGAAGTCCTAGGAATTCCGGAGGAGAATGATGGCGGGACGGTGATATTATATAAAGAGGCAGGATTCGCGCTTTTGATTTCTCCACCGCCTTCACTCCGTGTCAGAGGTAGTGGGTTTCCAAAGCCCATAAACCCTTAGATCAGGGTTGTGTTTAGAGTGCATATATAATGGCGGGACACAGAGATGATGGGTGGGGTTTACTTCATAAGTGACGTTTGTTTCTTCCGTCAAGACTGTTGCGAGCAAAGTTTTGATCCTAGAATCTCACTGAAATCCTTGCTCGCACAGCACTCCTTCGTGCCAAAGCTATCCCGTTATATATTTGGAAGTATGGCACCTGGTCTATTTTCAACAACAAGGTTTACGGCAGCGATTTGGACACTGTTGACTCAACTTGAATGGCTGGGCAAAGATATAAAGATCGAATTGGAATATCCTAACCGGAGAAATATACTCACGAAGAAATAGGGAATAAAAAATGGAAAGACTATGTTGACCCAAATACAGGTAACGGAGGAAAGAGACAGATTGGATGAACGAAAACAACTAACAAAAGGAAAACAAGCTGCCTTTTATCCTTCTCCGGATCATCCCGATCCACTTCCACATACTCGAGTACTGCCAGCGTATGCCGTATTCTCCGTCATGCTTAATTCCACTACTGCCCATTTGTTCTACTTTAGCCGGTCGAACCAGAGGATTCGACCGAGGGTATGTTCTGACCGAGGATATTCCGTATTTCCATATGATAGGAGTAAGGCCCCCACATGGAGTCGTCGTAGGTATCGTCGTAGATGTCGCCGCACGTGGTGTTTGATGTGTAAGACTCACCGGTAGTCAAACATAGAGGCGTCGGAGTAGTTGATAGGCCAATAGGGTTAGGGTTGTGAAGTCGTTGCCATAAGGGAAATATGCGGTGAGCAGCCAAGAAACAATTCCGTCCAATAGTCTAGAAGACAGGGGTTTCGGCTACTAGTGCCAAGGTTGCTCGCTCTCTCGCAACCTTGGGCACTCCTCCAGAGTGCCTGACAGTTCAACATGACTTGTCACGGCTCAACATGACTTTGTGGCTTACCATTGTAATTTTTGTGGCTCAATATGACTTTGTGGCTTCTGAAGTAATTTTGTGGCTTAATCAAACTTCACAGCTTAATCATACTATCATCACTCAACTTCTTCGTATTACTACATACTATTTTTTTTTATGATACAAAATTGTTAATCTGTATTATATTAATATTATTGTACACCTATTTCTGAAAGTTTGCTTTTTGTTTAATACCCATTAATATCAACCTGGATATTTTCTTTTTGTAAGTACAAACTGCACGTCTTTGATTTGCTTGTGCCTTTATCTCATCCAAGAAAGGCTTATGTTCTTCTCGCTCTGCTTTTTTCTTGGCATTTATAGCCCTACGTAACTGCTTTTCAGCCTTTTCCACCTCTGCATCCTTCCTTTTTTTTTACCATCTGTCTTGCTTCAGAGGCATAAATTGCACAACCTTTTTGAATCTGCTAATCGTTACTAGCATGACGTCTAGCATTTTGTGCTTCCTCGGCTGCTCGCTGATGTTCTAAACTTTCCATAGCCAATGCACCTGCCTGTGCTAGCACTAATCCACCTTGCAGTACAGCTTTCATACTTTCCTGAAGGCTAGGTAGTAGATCACCTGCTTTACCTAATAGCTCTGTACTTGGAGCTTGAAGGGTAGCAATAGTTAAAGGAATCTCCGATGCAGATTCTGGTAGCAAGGATTCAGGCTGAAAAGTTGGACTTGCTGCCTCATGTAGTTGCAAAATTACAACATCTGGATTGAAGGGAATTAGTCCAGTTGCTCTAAAGGGAGTTTTAATCATCGATGGCTTGAAGATTTGCTGCCAAATCGAGTTGATAGTATCTAGAAATTCTGTCATATCAAAGTCTCCACATCCTGTTAGTGTTGCTGCCTCTACAGCCTCGGCATGGTAATGTTTGTAGGGCTGAAAGACAACTACATCAAGTGGTTAGAGAAGGTGGCTTGAATGTGGAGGGAGGTAGAACACAATAATCTTATTATGCTCACAATAATCAAGAAACTCCTTTGTATAGTGTGATCCAAAACCATCAAGAAGTAGGAGGTGATTAGTACCTGTTAGGCGGAGACAACTTGATAGACTTCAAAGTTGTCTAGGCCAATCGAGATTGGTTTCTGTAGACAGAGATTGTCTAGGAAGGCTTGGACTTTGCTCGTTTCGTTTATAACTAGTAGGAGCGAAGTAGAATAGGTAAAGTAGGGTAGAATCGTAAAAACAATATTATATTGTTAAGGTCTCTTCTCCTTTGCTTTGTGATGTCTAAAGCTTGGGAGACACTTCGATATTTATATTTCACATCTGAGTATTCGTGAACTACATCTATTTATGATACAACTATGTACTTCTTCAATTGTAATTCGCGACATCGAGTTTGCTTCCAAGGTGCGAACACCTGGGACCCTGAAAACCATCACACCCTCTGTGGTAATTACAATATTTCTTCTTAGGAAGCGTGCTGTCTCCAATAGTAATATCCCGATTAGCAGAGTCTTTAGACTTATGGCCTAGTCCTGAAGTCGAACTGAGTTGGCTCCAATTGTCTTCGCCATTGATAAAATGATCAGTTTTATCCACAGCTATATCTGCAAAGGTGGTCTGGATTACAACCATCGTAGGTCGTCTGACTCTGATACTTTGTAACTCCATACCCAACAGATAGATTTTTTCTGGATGATTTCCTATTAATTCACAGGAAGTGTAACCGGTACGGGTACTCGGTTATTAGTTTTGTTTCCTGTTTTGTTTTAAGTATCGCTTTGATACTTGATTTGTTTTAAGTATCGTTGGATACTTAGTTTTGTTTTATGTTTTGTTTTAAGTATCATTTTGATACTTGGTTTGTTTTAAGTATCATTTGATACTTAGTTTTGTTTTATGTTTTGTTTTAAGTATTGCTTTGATACTTGGTTTGTTTTAAGTATCGTTTGATACTTGGTTTTGGTTTATGTTTTGTTTTAAGTATCACTTTGATACTTAAGAGGTTTTACCAAAGTATATCGATTGATACCTTTGATTAGTTTTGTTCATACTAGATATGAACAGATTTGTGTATTTAAAGACTGCCTGTTTCTACGATAGAAATAGCAGACTTCGACAGACAGTATTTTAATATACTTGGTTGAACTGTTACTTCTTTTTTCCACAGTAAGTCCTTGAAGCCTTCTTTAGTTCTCAGCTCTCACCTCGTCTCTGGAAGAGCAGGCCACCTGCCAACTATCGTATCTATTACCGATAACATGATTAGCTCCTTGTGAACACGTTACATTTTTTTAACCTCAGCAAGTAGTTAAGAACCAGTCCCTAGATTTAGGTCTGATCAACCTATCAATATCCACCTCAGAACGCTAGCAGAGAGAAGCGGCAGAATCACAGCACATTCGGCTTCATCTCAAATCCAAGATAGAGTCTTTGACAACCAGGAGTGGGAAGTAAATCCCACGGCAAGACCTTACAAGAAAGAAACAACCCCGATGCTCTGCTAAGGAGCCGGGTGAACCAGCAAACACTAAAGACACACAACCTCCAGGAGAATTCCCTTCTACGCTAGCAAAGAAGCCTTCCTTTGAACCTCCAATCGATTCCGAATCGAGTAGCAAATCAGTCATGGCTAGTACAGGAGCAGGACCCTCTAGAGGAGGAAAGCCTCGGGCCAGGCCTGAAGAAGAGGAGGTACCCGCAGCATTTGAACCTCCTAAGTTTAAACTCCACCTCTCAGTAAAGTTTACAGGAGAAGGAAAAGACCTCAAACCCGAAGCCTTTCACCGATGGGTGATGGAACTCACACACTATCTTCTCCTGCAAGGGAAAGATGTGGAAGACCCTACAACTGGACTATACATTGGATCATTCTGCGAAGGAAAGGCAACTGACACATACCACCAATGCTATAAGAATTACGGCGGAAATGTGAGATTAAGAGGCTCTACAGTTCTCACCTATCTGAAAGGATGATTCCAATCCTCTATTACCAACGACCTCCTATACAACAAATTCAACAAGCTCTAGTAAGTTAATAGAACGTATGTCAAAAGGATTACAGATGTAGCTACTGATCTATTAATGTATCA